GCCAGCTACAATAGCCAGCTATTTTTTGGTTGCAGTTGTCATTGTTGTTTAGCAGGCCTGGACTAGGTTCAAATCCACCAGCCTCAATGTATGTGGCTGGTGCCCTACTCACTGAGCTATAGGCACTGAGCCCAATTTCATTTTTTTAATGACACTTTCTACTGTTTTAAATTTTTGGTTTGATTATTTACTGCTTTATTATCTGTCTGCCTCCAATCCCAATAAAATGTAAGCTCCAGGACTATAGGGAGCTTTGTTGTCCAACACAGTACTCCCAGCACTGGAAAAGTGCCTGGTACATAGTCAGAAGTCTAGAGACATTGGCTTAAAGTGTTTCACGGGAAGCCTCAAAAACATGGGAGGCACTCTGGTACTCCAAAGAGTGTCCTTAGAAGTTACCTGGGACATGCGTGTGGGTGGTCTAGAACCGGATCCTTCATGGTAAGCTGGGACTTCCAGTGGGCTTTCTGAGAAGCGAAGATCTTTCAAAGGTTTGGAGTCAGTTCTTTCACCTACCTCCAGGTCTATAATTATAGTAAAAACATTGTTCTGTGAGCATCTGCATTATATATCACCACATAAAGATGAAAACCTTCCCAGGTGAAAACCTTTCAATAAAAGATCACTGTCCTCATATTCTTTCACTAGAAATAACAATTATATAAAGAAAGACCACACACACACTCAATTAGAACTGAGAAAGAAAAAATAAGCCCCGACTGAGACAATCATCTTCCATTCTACGTTCTACAACATTCCAAACAGCCTGGGAAAACAGATAACCAATTACAAGGTTAGTAGGAAACCTTCATCCCAAGGACACATTGCAGCTTCGTAAAATGTCATAATAGCCCCCTCTTTGAGTCTATATTACTTGCCTTTTTTATTTTTTTGGATTTTTTATTTTTTATTAAGTCATAGCTCTAAAATCACAGATTATCAGAAACTTTGCTGCTTGAAATTCTATAGTATAAAGGAAACATCCAACACTTGCCTGAAGGATCTAGTCACCATGACACAGAGAAGCAACCCTGGGGCAGAGAGAATGGTTTCTGAACACAACTTTCCATGCGGATCTCTATAGTTACCAAGGGCAGAACCCTGGGACCCCTTCACAGTCTATACCTCACGTGGACTGCTCCACACTCAGCCCAGTTTTTCTTTGAGCCTATTTAAACCCTGCTTTCATTGAAATTTCACCCAAACTCGACCCTCTCCCAAACCCTAAAACTCTTAACTTTTCTTTTGCCTGTGAGATATCCATGGTTTCCTCTTTGAAATAAAATAATAAATCAGACTTCTCTGGACTGCTTATTTAACCCCCATCATCTTAAACCATTAGCTGGGACAGCACTAAAATTCAAGTGACTGTATAGGCTACTTTTCTGCTCTGGTGGTTCTTATTCCAATACTTTTGTGAACAAGAGAACATGCAGTGAGCCCATTAGGTGGGTTTAGAATACCAAGCTTTGTCTTTGTTCCGTTGTATCATACCTGGAAACTTTCTAAAACTAACATTCCAACCATGTTTATTTTCAGCATTCTTGTATTTCTTCCTTTGTTTTGATCCAACAAATCCATTTTTTAATACCTAGGAATAAAATAGTGTATATCAGTTACTTGATTTTGCCCACTTAGAATGTGAAAGTTAAAAGTTCCATGATAGAGATGCTGTCATGGCCTATCTTTCTCACTTGAAAGTGTTTATAGTAGTTTTTGCCAAGTGATCCCTGCTTCACTTCACTCTGGAAACACACACCTTTGTATATTGGCAGGACTGCTTGGTTAGCACATCTGGATGGTCGGATAGTAGGCCCCGGCAGGTTATATGAGCAGGACAGGAGGCAGGATATTGCAGTCATAAGAGTCTGAGTAATAACAGATGGGCCACCAGATCCAGGGGGCAAAGATAGGGTGGGGTCAGACGAGGACAGGACTTCTATCCACTACCTGCCTCCACAGTCTTCTCTCTGGACTTCTTTTTCCACAGACTTTGTCTTTGCAAGCCTCAGCACCTGCTGATGGATGTGGGCTCAGCCTCTGCTGGCTGTCCCTGCCAGTCTACATCCCAGCCTTGATTCCACCGGTCCCCACTCTATGTCTGCACCCACAGCATCTCTTCTGGCCTTAGGTCCACCACTGGGCTTAAGGGATACTCCCCAAAACCTTCATTTGTCATTTCCAACAAGATCCCAATAACTGGGAACCCTTGGTCAGTTGCCTTACCACAGGCTAGCCTATCCTCTGGCCCTGCTCCTGAATCCATCTCGCTAGCGCCCACACCTAGGAACTGAAGTTTCAAACATCCTTTCTTAGGTCTAGTTGACTCTCCAAAGAAGTGAGGCTTTGCAGATAATAGGAAATAAAGATTTCAGTGTAAAAGAAGTCTATGCCCACTGAGGACCTCTACCAGCCTGACACATGTAGTCAACAAATATACTCCTGCCATACTCTCCCACCTACCCCTATACAAGGCAATGAGATAGCGGCCATGCCCCCTGCCACCTGGGAGCTCACAGTGCATGGGGAAGACAGACAAGGAACAAAGTAATCCCATATTCAAAGCAGTTTATAAAAGGAGGCCTGGTTCCAGGGTAGTGGTGGCACGTGATGGCACACAAGGTGACACACAGTTTAGTTTGGTCGGAATCCATGTGAAAGGCACGGGGGGTTACAAACAAGAGCAAGAAAGCCTGACCGAGGACAGAAGCTGGTTACTTGGAAGGTGTGCTAAAGGGTTCTTCTTTCTTTCTTCAGTAGGTAAAAGAGAGATATGGAGAACACTGGAGGATGGGCAGTAACACCAGGCAGGAATTCTAATCCTCGGGATAGATGGACGACCGACCCGAGGCTGGGAAGTCAATGAAGATGCCGTGCAATGCCTGATACCGACTCTACTGTAAAGATCTGAGTGAGCAGAGGTGATGCAGTGACAGGGAAGACGTGCCTACTGAGCCAGAAGGAACCAAGAAGATAGTGACCATCTAAATAATTATAATGTTATCTTGCCTGCTTTGATGAATCTTTGAGAACATCGTCAGCACTGTCTTCAGTAGAGACTGCATTTGGTGGTTCACAGTCTACCTGGAACACCTTCGTTACGACGCCACTTTGTCTGCAGTCTCTGAAAATTATTCAAAAAAGAAAAAGTCTGGATTATACAAAGTCAAATAAAAGATGGCTAGCAATTATGATGACCTTATTAAAGTCCCTTAGTCTACCTCTAAATGTATTAGACTTCAAACTGGAGAAATCAGAACATAATTCCTTACATCATTCCATCAGGGTTATCTATTGCTGTATAATGATCCCCCAAAAACATAGTACCTTAAAATACAACTCTGCGGGTTCACTGGCTCAGCTGGGTAGTTCTCCTTTGAGTTCTTTCATGTGGTTGCAGCAGGGTTGTGGAGTCAACCGAAGGCTCAACTGGGTGGAAGTCCACAATGGCCTCTTTCCTTATCTAGGCTGATAACTAGAACAGCCAGGGGCTTGCTAGTCACCAATCTCATTCTCTCCATTTCTCTCTGTCCCTCCCTCCCTCTCCATGTGGTTAGCTTGAGCTTCCTCACAGTATGGAGGTCTCAGGTACTCAGACTTTCTACACTGTGGCTGGCTTCCTCCAGCATTCATGATGCAAGAAACTAAAGCAGAAACTGCAATATTTCTTGTGATTTTAGAAGTCCTTGGCATTATTTCTGAAACATTCTATTGGTCAAAAGTAAGTCATAGGGTCAGCAGAAAGACTATAAAAGGGCATGAACACAAGGAGGTACAGTTCATTCAGGCCATTTTTGGAGACTATCTGCCACGTTCATCATAAAGATATTATACTAGAAGGCTCAAACTATTCTAAAACAAAAACTGTGACTACCTAGGTATCATTCCATACGAGTCAAGAGCATTTTCCTTATCTCAGCTTACACAGCATAACAGATGCTGCTCTCACACATTTTGTAATTGCTATTCCCCCAATACTATCATGTTTTCAAATACTCATATTTCCAATTATGTTCTTTGATACAAAAGAAATTCCATGATAGACCCGTGACTAAAAATTAGTGATTTCATCTCAGTACCAGCAGCTTACCTACACTCTATTTTTTTAATAGATTTTTTAAAGTATAAAGTAAATTATACTTTAGTATAATTTACATGGCCTAAAATTCACCTATTTTAAGTGTCTAGTTGTGAGATTTAGTAAATTTATACAAATGTGCAACTATCACTGCAAATGCCTTTTAAAAGACTTCCCTTGTGCCTGTGTGGTCACTACTTACTACCACCCCCATCTCAGCTCTCTTAGCCAACCACTGATCTGCTTCCTATCTCTACAGTTTTGCCCTTTCTAGAAACTTAACATAAATGTAATTATACAAATGTAGTCACTATACACGTCTGTCTTCTTTATGATTTCTTTCTTTTTTGAGACAAGGTCTTGCTCTGTGTCCCAGGCTAGAATGCAGTCATCATAGCTCACAGCAACCTCTACCTCCTAGACTTAAGCAATCCTCCTGCTTCAGCCTCTCAAAGTGCTCGGATTACAGGCATGAGCCACTATGACAGGCTGATAAGCTTTTATTTAAAAAAAAAAAGAGAGAGAGAGAGAGAGAGAGACAGGGTGGCACCTGTGGCTCAAGAGTAGGGCACGTGGTGGGTTCAAACCCGGCCCTGGACAAAAACTGCGAAAAAAAAAAAAAAAGACTTACAGATTCATAAATCAGGATGCAGATGCAGATTATCTTTTAGATGAACCACTTGCCTAATACATTCACTTCAGCATCCACCTCATCTGCATTTTCACCTTTGGTCCCAGTTCTGTCAGAATCCAAGATCCAACGGTCCAGAGTCCCCAGACAGCACAAACATCTCTATCCAGTGATCATTCAATTCCTAGATATTCACAGAGCTCCATGGATATGCACTCACAGCCCTACAAGAGGTCACATGAGTAGAGCCTGGTTCTCACCCACTTGTTCCGCCCTCTAAGATCCAGCTGGTCCTTCCTTGTGGACCTAGCCAAAGCATTCACCCACGGACTCTGTCCCTGCCGACAGCAGACCCGAGACTAGTTTAAACTACAGCTAAGTAGAAGGATTTGATCTGGATTATAATCCCTACAAAGGATTAGACTTGGGGTTGGAGTTAAAAATCCTACTCACAGCCCAAACTGCATTTGAAATAGAAGTAACTTTTGTT